CTCTTTCCTGCTTATGCAGGGGGTCGGACTCGATGATCTATTGAGGTCCCTTCCGGCCCTAACATCTATGAATCTATGAACCTCCTAGAGACCCCGCCTCTTCATCCTCCATTTGTCAGTGGCAGCACAGCCTTCTGCTGAATGTTTGAATGCCCTGGCAGCCCTCACATGATGCCCCTGCCCAGCTGGCCTATCCTGGCAGGTTGTGGGGGGTCCAGCATGGGTGAAATCAGGCAACCAGCTCGCCCTAGTGATTGCAGGATCACAAACAAGGTACCCCCTGCCTAGAGACCCCGCCTCTTCATCCTCCATTTGTCAGTGGCAGCACAGCCTTCTGCTGAATGTTTGAATGCCCTGGCAGCCCTCACATGATGCCCCTGCCCAGCTGGCCTATCCTGGCAGGTTGTGGGGGGTCCAGCATGGGTGAAATCAGGCAACCAGCTCGCCCTAGTGATTGCAGGATCACAAACAAGGTACCCCCTGCCCTCCCTGCCCTTGCCGGCAGTACCTACCTCCTTCTCCTCCTGGGGCTCCGATTCACTCTGCCCCATGTCTGCTGCCAGCCCCACTGGCAGTCCCAGCCCATAGAGGAGCCTGTGGACAAGCAGAGACGGTCACAGCAGCCACAAGGGACCCCAGAACAGCTCCTAGACCCACAACATCAAGGAGCAACCTCTGCTCCACCCCCTCCCACAGTGCCATCCCAAGGCATCAACTGTCCCTTTCCAATCCCAGACCCCAGCAGGTCCAGGCCTGGGCCCCACCCACCAGCCTGCCCCGGTTCCCACCAGGACAGGCTAACTCCACTGCCCCTTGCCCACTCCTCCCTAGGCACAGATCACAGGTGCCTGCTGCCCAGGCCACAATCACCGTGACCTCAACCTCCAGCCTGTGCACAGACCAGGAAAGAGCAACCCTGGCAGGCACAGGAGGGAAGGCTGTAGACAGACAGACTGACAGCACAGGGCTCATCCCCTCCACCAAGGAGGCAGGCATTAATTGCCCCTGGTAAGTTCCTACTGCACAGCCTCCCTCTGGCTGCTGGTGTTCAAGGCTGCCATGTCCACACACCCTTGGGCATCAGGCCAGCCCTGCCAAGCACCCACAACTAGCCTCATGGACCATAGCAAGCACCAGACACTCACACTGAGCTGATGTGCCATGCGTGGCCCAGGCATGCAGCAAGGCCGGACAGAGCCAGGAGAGTGCCATGTCCTGCCCACACCAGGGGGCCAGGGGCCAAGCTACAAGGCAGGGCAGGGGCAGCTCTGATGCATTACCAGGATAATGGGGTTCCAGGCCCTGAATGCAGGGCCCAGGCGCCCAGCCAGCATGCCCCCTGTACATACCCCAGTGGCTGGAATCTAGCTGTCCCCAGCATCCCCACCAAGGCCAAAGCCTCAGGAAGAGGAAGCAGCTACCGGCGTCAATGACTGTGGGATGCCAAAAGCACTGCACACCCCAGGCAGGACAGGTCCAGGCCAAGAGCAAGCAGCTAAAACCCTGGTGCTCCCCAGAACTGCAGTGCCTGCTTCACCTTGTACCAGAGGGTTTTATGCCTGCAAAGGGGAAGTTATTCCCACCCCCACCACATCCCACTGGATTATGCAACCCAGCTCAGCCCAGAGTACTTCCTCTTGGGCCTCAAGGAGGGGAAGTTGAGCAGAGCTGCAACCTGGCTGCAGGCACTGTCAGCTCTGTGCAGGGCAATGATACACCGCTCACACTTCTTGCCTGCTTTGTCGAGGCAGCACCTGTGCCCCAAGGTGCCCAATTCTGAAAAGGCACTGTGACAACAGCAGAGCAGGGATCTCCAGAGCTTGTGGCTGGGCTCAGCCCCTCCTGTTCAGCACAGTGTTAGCCCTGCTCCTAGTAGATAGCTCCAAAGTCTCCTGTAGCTCCAGCCCCACTCCCCATGGGGCACTACATAGCTCTGCCCTCAGTACACAGCTGGGAAGCAGCCCACACTACCCAGCCCCACCTGGACCAGGGATTCCTGCCCACCAGGTCCCCCAAAACTGCAAGGATTTTCAAAG